ATATATACAGATATACATATATATATATAATTATATATATATAATTATATATATATACATACATACATACATACATACATACGTACAAACATACATACATACATATGTATACATACACATACATACATACATACATACATACATACATACATACATGCATAAATATATATACAAACATAAATATACATATATATATATATACAAACACACATATATGTATATTTATATATACACACACACAGATATATATATATATATATATACATTTATGCATATATATATATATATATATCTATATCTATATCTATATGTATATGTATATGTATATGTATGTAGATATATATATATTTACACACACAACATATAATATATATATAATATATATATATNTAAATATATATATATATATATATATATATATATATATATGTATATATTCATATGCATTTATAAATGATTCGAATCAAGTAGATGTTTTTGCCGATTCATTCAGTTGCTGTACGTGTATGGATGGAAGTTCATTCGCCTGTATGCAAGTGTGTTTTCCACATCTCCGTACGCAGTTTGTTCATGTTCGCGTAGTCTGCCATACACTTAATGAATCGTGTCTATTATTTTATTGCTTCATATCAGGTGGGCTGCGTATGTGAATCGATCAGCGAAACGAGCGGAGAAATATGGGGAATCTGAAGCTCCAAATACAGTCGCTATCCTAGATGTCTTACATAGGTTCTTCTTCGGTGTTGGGTATGGTATCGGTAACTGAAGTATAGTTGGTGATCGTATACACAGAGTCTCGCAAGGCTTTAGGGTGAGATCATGGTTGCGTACACTTCGCTACATCCTTGACCTTAACTGAGCGATTGATACCACTATGGCTCCTGGCGGTCTTGCTGATTATTGATGTACTTCTAGTGGGGCCCACATGTCATTACCTACTGTGTTGCACACCGAAGCGATGTGTAGTCGCCTGCGAAGATGTCACTGAAGGGCTTTCATCTTAAATCGGGCCTTGCACCACCATAGATTGTCCGGGACAGTCGCAGGAACACATATATCTCGCTGCAAATGTTCGGTTGGACACGAGGTGTAACTTGACCAGCATACTAGATCACTAGGCACTCAGCTCACAATAGGCGGAGTTTGCGATGTTATAGTGATACGCCCTGTCCAATTGCTTTGGGTTTGCTCAGTCCAGGACTGCGGTATCGCATACATCACACACGGTGATCCTTCGCGTCAGTCGGTGACTGTACCCAAACCAAGTTGCTTTAGGACACTGTGGTACACGTGTCCGAATTTGAAGCAGACGGGTGCACTTGTGTGGCCAGTATAAGAATAATATTAGCATGCTCAGTGTTACGACCAAAACTGGACATGCGGCGAAGGCAACTTGGTAGGAACGCTCATCGCCTTGTTGAGACATGGTTATATATTTAATATATAATCTTTGCTAAACAGACAGGCATAGTATATAATCTTGACTTTGAATAGATGGGCACACTAGTTTATACTCATACGTACACACTCATTGGGTCTTTCTATGGCTGCCTGGTCCACCCTACCTGATATTTTGGGTCGTTGTATGGTTTCTTGGTCCACTATACCTGATATTTTTAGGTGTGACTATGGTAGCCCTCACCTTAACGGGGTCAATGCGGGGAATATCCATGAAGTGCATACATTTTATTGTATAATGCGCAATAAAACGGTCAGTATTCTATTGGAATTGATCATTGAAATGCTTAGGCTTGGTGATTAATTAGATTACATATAGCAGTACGCCCTGGGTGACTCTTGAATAATGCCCTACGAGGAAGAAGGGTTAGAAGTATAAATAGAATTTGTACAGTCCCGTGGCAACGTAGACTGTTGATTTCCGATACACTTTTCAAAATTGAAAGAAGAGTGATCTGTGATCAATATCATTAACGTATCGCATCATAATTTATTACTGGCGAAACTACTGTAAAAATTAGTTACCTATCTCGCCCTCGGTTCAATTCCGCATAAGAGCACGTGCGAAATGTAAATATCTTATAGTCAGTGCATAGACTTCACTTGTAGTGAATACCTCGTATGCATCAGATCATTTGGTCAGTATCTGACTTCAAGCGTAAGCTGTGCTCACCGATACTCATTGAGATATGGGCCAATAAACGATTGACAGGGCGCGTATGAGCGACCACTGAAGTCAACTTTAAATTCATATTCATAAACTACAGTCGTCAATACTCGACACAATGCAGGTATACATGATACACAAAATTTACTATCTAAGCATACATGATATGTAAATTTTAATATGCCGACATATATAATAAATGAATCATGTGATATTCTTAGATATTCTGATCGAACTATACATGAACGGATAGAAAGACAAATGTTGACACATAACATGTGATACTTGAGGTGTTTTCAGTTTTAATCGGACTGCATCATAAGAACGGATAGAGACAACTTTCACAAGAAGTTTATAATTTGCAGTAAAATCTTTTTGTTTTTGTATTTTTGGGTTGTTTTGTATTCTTGTTTTTTGTTTTTTAAAAATAAAAACGAAAATGTAAAGCAAATAAACCTCTTTGGACTGCAGCTTTGAGTCTTTGAACTATGTAGTGAAGCGTGAGTGACGTGACACTGTACAGCCAGGGTTATGGGTTATGGCTAAATTTGACCAATGAAAAATAGTTCTGATGGAAAGATAAGAGGAGCTGATTCATCTGCAGCCTGCACGCCCTGCAGCCAAGGACTGCAGCTGACTGACAGTAAAAATCGTCAGTAGTCTATAGACTATACACTCTCTGTACTCAGTATCCATCAAAATATGAGACCCAAAAACCTGAGATGACTATATGCTGGTGCCATGCATTCAGTCCTTTATTGTTTCGTCTCTTTAATTTTCATGTAAATATGTGGGTATTACGAAAGATATATACAGGCTAAATTTACAAGACTTCAAAACAATAATATTTGAGTAGCATAAACACAAGGTCTATAAGTCTTCAGTCTGACACATGCATGTAAAGGATAGTGTAAAGATAGTAATAGGAGGTTGACTGTATGGAAGCTCGTTTCAAGTTAATCAATTAGCACACTACAGATATGTCAATGATATCTGACAGAAAATAGTAACAGACAAAGCTGAACCGTAATTACCAACACACACAGTACGGTATAGGATAGTAGTATATCACAAGTTCAAGTCGAAATCAGTATCGTACCACATCGGTAGTTCACTACAATGGTCTATGTCAACAACGACATTCCGTTCGACAATGATTGTATCGCTACAATGTTAAACGATGGGGACGATGCCGATGAGGCTGTGCTTCAATTTAATGAGCGCAGAAGAGTTCAAGAAACAAATAAAAGGACAGGAGGTCATACGTCAATCTGTGATCTAGATAATGGAACACAGAACAGTATGAGAAATATAGACTCTCTAGATGACTTTGGGGCTAAGTCGCCACAAGCAAGAAAGCAGGAGCACCATGCACTTTCAGTGGGAGACGATGTGCGCATTGGTATGTATGTTGGTTTCGGCATGTATGTTAAACTTGGGATATATATATATATATATATATATATATATATATATATATA